TGATATAATTTATTGCTCATATTTGGCATATTCAATAAAGCAGAGAATATTTCCAATTGTACATAACCTTGTCCTGAATTTACTGATGCTGTTACAGCTGCTGTATTAACGTCCATTAATGATATACTGGGATCTTCAGATTCAATAATTTCTTGTTTCCGACACATAGCACAATTGAAAATATATTCACTATACAAACCATTTCTCTTCTCACCGACAAAAACCAAATTTTTAAAAGTACAGTCAAACGGTTGATGATTAATTTTCGATATTTTTCCAAAAAAATAGGCAATATTAATTATACGCCTGCCATCTAAAATTGATCTAAATATAAAAATTACCAAAGTAATATAAATATCAAAAAATGTAATTTTAAACGAAAAACAAATATTTACTTTTCTTCTTCAATGTTGGAGTTAGTTTCATGTAATAATTCTCCAATTACTTCTTGACTAGTTGAAGATACACCATTATCAAATAATATATTTGATATTGGAGTTTCTCGAACAGATGTGTCCTTATTTGAGGAACACGTTTCTTTAGATGAGCTAATTGTTGTCAATTTACTATAAAACAATTTATAAAATATAAATATATATTTAATTTAACAAAAGGTGGGCAAATGTATGTTTCTCTGCTGTACAGTAATGGATGGTATTAAATTTGAATTCAATGTTATAATATCATTGTATAAAAAAAACAATTCTGAGCGAATACTATGTATGTCAGCTACCTATAAGATTACTATAGGTAGGCATATTTTATGATATTATTGCAAGTAAAGTAATTAACTCTAGTTTTAGTATTTACTACTTTACTTAATTTACTTTTGAAAATGTCATTTTGTACATAAAATAAAACAAAATATAACAAAATATACTCATAATATAATTTTCATACATCAACAAATTATTTTTTTTAAATTCTAACAAAATAACTAAAATCGTTATTCTTGGTTTCAATATGTAATTTCGTCCAAATTTATTTTGAGCTGTTTACGGACATTTTCAGTTTCTATTATTTTTAGTTTTTTTTCTATAACTATCAATAAAATTTTATTTGTTGGTTAAAAAAGCTTAAAAATTTATTAGAAGGCTCCTAGTAAATTGTTTCAAAGGCAGATGAAAAAAATTAAAAATCCATTTTCATAATTTTTTTTTATAAGCATTTAAAGTTCAAATATTGACAAAATACATAAAAATTACAAAAATTTGCAAATTATTTTGAGTTAGAAATTCATAAAAAAATTTCTTTTTAAATCTAAGATTTTAAAATGTAATACAAGATTTCTCATAAGTTTGTCTACCTTTATCAAAAAAAAAAAAAAAAATTCTAGAAGAGAGTCAAATTAAATTTTTATGATCGATTGAAATTCATATTTTTACATTTGATATTTACTCGTTTTCTCATGTAACGATTTTCTTATTTTGTTGTAATTAAAAAACAAATGACATAGGCACAAATTTTTTTATAAGCATTTGAAGTTAAAATTTTGACAAAATGTATCAAAATATCGAAAATTATCAATCAATGTAATTAAAAAATTATTAAATGTTCAGTTACTATAACTAAGGATTGAAAATTTAAAACAAAGATTTTCATAAATATTTCATACAGTAACCAAAAAATCTAAAAAATATACAAACATACAAACACAGTTATTTTTTACAGACATTTTAAATTCAAATGAGGACGAAATTACATATTTATAACCTACTGTACAGCAAAGCGACATCCACTTACCCCACCTTTTTAATAAATAAAAAAACATATATTATCATTGTAAAGTCAGTATATTCATCACTCTGCTCAGATAATAAAATTATAATTCTACAATCACAAATAGAATAAATTACTTTATAGTTTAGTTTATATTTTGATACAATATTTTTAACTTTATTGTTTGAGTCTATAAATCTATAATAAAATATGTAATTTAGTATTTACAGTTTTTACTTACCGTGCGATTTTTCCGCCTTTTTTTTTTTCTATACGCTGCTACCGTTTTGGATTTTATTCCATATTTTTTGTTCATTGTTAATTTATCAATAATAAAGTATATTACATAGATCACAAAAAATAATCCATATGGCACTACGTACTCATTGACAATAGTATAATATGTTTATGTTGTTATTTGTAAATAATATTATCAAGATATTTATAATAATATAGTGTTTCGGTAAATATATGTGATGTTTATAAATAGAGCTGGTGGTAAAGCGCGCCGTGATCATAGTAAACCTGTTCGGTTACATGGTACACAGGAAGGAGAAGGGATTCACTCACACTAATAACCATTTATACTACTACATACACACAATATCGTGCGACGCCGAGACGATAAGTGAATTAGGTTGCCAATAATTTGCTCCTTAATAAATAGCCGGCACCGGGGGCCTTAAGGGGCCGCAACATCAAAAGTAAAATGTGTGTAACGCTCAAGAGATAGCGTTGTGGACTGTATCGTGGCGGCGGCGGCTCCACCCATTTTTGTGTTTGTACGGACGCGCGTTGTAGTCAGGCAGGATTGCGTTATTATTATGGTATCGACACTCGTAGGGTGTAGGTCCCGTAAAAGATTATTTCGTTATCGATGTATACTGTTGCGCACTCGCGTTATGGTTATTTAAATAAGTAACTGTTTACTTAAAATTGTAGTTACACACATAGAAATGTATATTATAAGTCAATCAAAATTTAAATCAAGAAAATCACTTATTTACTTATTTAAATATTGCTGCATAAATCATTTAGTGTTTGGACAATATTGGTTAACTACCATATAATTTTTTTTAATGTTTATAACATGTTGCTATGTGTACCATTTCTGGTACATGGCTGAACATTATTATCGAGCCACATGTACCATATAAGGTACATTCGATTCATTGACATTAGTTACACCGTGCGCCAAAATGGGTACACGTAAATGTGATTTTCCTATGAGTTATGTTTGTGTGGCCTCCTAGTAATGTTTTAGTAAAAATAGCGAAACAAATTTATAATTTTTTAACATTTTAATCAATATTTTTATTAATGACATGTTTTACTATAATATAACAATTAATTACAATATTTATTTTTTTATTTTTTTTTGTAACATAATCATTTTTTTTAAATTCCTTTTATTTTGTAACATTTTATTTTTATTTTTATTTTGTATGCATGAATTCGAAGAAAACAATCCAAACAAAATAGGAATCACATTTAGGACAAATCGTTGATACGCGAGAGGTTTTCTTTCTTGTTTCTGCGTTCCTGTATACAAAAATGTATTTATTTAATACAATAAAATATAACAATTATGTATAAGTATATTACCTTCTGTTCGAGAAATGTATTGTAGCATTGATTACATCGACCTCTTTTTTTATTGTTTCCAACTTATGTTCATCATACTAACTTTGGAACTTGGAACTCTGTGTTTGATTGCTGAATTAATCCATTAATAATGTCGTCTTTGAACTGTATCTTAGAATTTCCAGTGACTCCTTATAAACAGCAATACGTAAACTGAACGAAGTAATAACAGA